GTGTGTAACCTTCCCTGCTTGGGACCTGCAGCCTGGATCCTTAGCAGGGAAAAATATTAATCCCTAATGAGCACAACTGAAGGGATGGGTGAAGTCAGCAGAAATCTTTCACCCAGTGAGCTGGCTGGGTGTGTTTGTAAGCCAGCAAACTGCAGTGCTTTGCAAAATATTCCAGAGCCAGAAGCACAATGAATTCTGTCTGCCAGGTTCACAAAGCTGGGATTAGGGCTGGCTGTAAGGTCTGCTGCTGAGGGGATAGAGAGCACATTAGCTGCTCCGCTTTCTGGGTCTCCAGACACATTTGAGATGTACTGAGAGCCTGTTCTAATGTGTTTGGTGGCTTTTGTTAAGCGAATGATACGGTTATCCTCAGGTTTCATTTAATTTCCCAAATGGAACTGGACTCGGTTTAAACTTCTTGGCAGAAATAGTTTTTGGTTGTTTCTGTTTTTTTTTTTTTTTTCTGTGATCAGAGTTGCTGATGATTTCTTACTCAGGAGTCGATTCAGTTTCTGTGTGTGTGAATTTTAATTGGTGGGAAGCTGTAAATGCTGATGTGTTTGGTCACTGTTGACATGGATAATTGAATTACGTGTAGAACCAGACTAGTTTTCTGCCTGTGGGGTGCAAAGTGTTCATGGTGTTTGACACAATTTGCCGTTCAGGATGGAGATCTTTGTCTTCCACCCCGATAGCTGGATGGTTACATTTGCTCTTCCTGACGTGCTGTCATCCCCTGTAAGCAAGATTTATTAATTTGGCTGCATCTTTGTGTTGTGTTGTTCCTGTGCTTCCCTGGTATCCGTGGCCTGGGGCGGTGCTGCTCCTGCCAGTGCTGGGCTGGGCTGCCAGAGCCCGGAGCTGTCCTGGCACGGGAGCCTCTGCTGTGGGACGTGGCTTGTGGTACATCTGCACTTGTGCCCCCTCTCTGTGCTCAGTGAATTGCTGGCATGCTGCTGAGGAACACTTTGGGCTCTCCAGTCGGTCCTGACGGTGTGCAGGAGCACCCCCAGGTCACACACGAGGCCTTGCACTGTTGCCCTGAGCGTGTTCACTTGAGTAAAATCAAACCCCGGCTTGTGGTCAGGTTTGCTGTATTTTGTAATCTCTGCCCTGTCAGTACAGGATACACATCTAATGAGAGCTTAGCAACAAAAACACAGTCTGGGCAAACCACATAAAAAGCCAAAGAATGACACTGTGGTGTTTGGAAAGCTTTAATAAAGAATCTTAATATACTGCTGTGTGTGGAGGGAGCTACTATTCATCAAAAGGCTTTTATGGTGAAATAAAGCAGTGTTAACAGGAGGGAATTAAAGACTGAAATATTTCTCTCATGCTTCTCTCCCCCTTCCCTTCTCCTGCCAGTTTTTTTTCTTGTGAAAGCCACTGATTTGGCTTCCCCATGACACTTGCTTGTCTCATTTATGGGTTCTGTCTCTTCTCATTTTTTCCTGTGCTGACGTGCTTTACTGTTCTGGGTTTGCCCTCGCTGGAAAGACTCTCACATGTTGTGATGCTTTTCTCCTCTGCTCCTCCTCTCCTGGTGTTTTTCTGGCTTCAGCATTGCTCTTGCAACTTTTGCCAAACTTACCCTCTTCCATGCATATGTTTTATGTGTTGGTACCTATGGCACTCTCTGATTTAGCAAGTTGAGCTGTTGACTATTACGGATTTCTGTCAGAAATCTTTATTTGTTAATAATATCATTATAAATGACGGATTAGTCCAGATGAGCAACACTTGTGGGTTCACAGCACCTTTGTGGACGTGTTTTTGTGCTGCTGGGGACTCTGGGAAGGGATTAAAAAGCACTGGTCTCCTCTTGGGGAAAGGAGAAACCCAGAAGCTGAAAACCAAAGTAGAATGAACCCTGTGGTGTGTGGACAGGGTTGGGAGGACATTCCCAGTTCGGTGCTGAGGGTGAGTCCTGGAGGAGGAACAGTGTTTCTGGCAGGGTGTTCATCACAGGGGGTGGACACACTGCTGCTGAATTTGTCCTGATTGAGTCTGTCCTACTGTTTAAAAAAGGTGGGTGTGGGATGACTGTTTATCTTTGGATTCTTTGTGGAGGATTGGAAGAAAAATAAAACCCCTTCATTTGAACTGTGGGAAAGACAGCTTTGTGTGTAGATGATACAAGGACTGCTAATGCTTTACAGGGAACTTTGGTCCTCTGAGTCACTTCGGGGAGTTTCACTGCAAGAACCAGTTCATCTCTGCCAGGATTTTAGCAGTAGAGGTGGCTCAGAGGAAAGCAGTTCCTTTCTGTAGGGGAGGGAAGGTCCTCAGGTGAGGTGTCTTCTTCCAGACCAGATGGAAGTGGCATCTCCTGCACAGTGCTGAATTACAGAGGGTGTGACACAGGAGGCTGCCTTGCATGGCAGCGAGGTGGGCAGTGCTGCCAGCGGGCACGGGGGGATCTGGGCACTTGCAGGGCCTCTGGCCACGGTGTGAGCGAGGTGGCTGGCAGCTAACACACCCTATCCTATTTGTAGCCTCAGCTTGGCAAGGCTCCTCTGGAAAAATCGAAGATTCTCTTCTCTGTCCTAAAACCACAACAAGGAGTGGGAGGGACACGCAGCTGTCCCGTCCCTGGGTTCAAACAGCAGCCTTGCAGCTTGTGCTGCCAACTGCAGGGAGATGCAGCACTCAGAGACTGAATTCAGTTTTCTGACTGATGCTTGTTAGTAGCAAGTCTTTCATTTCATCCTGTATGATCTCTTGGTTTTATCTGTGCGTGTTTAATTGAGAAATGGCTCTCTCAAAAGCCCTCTGAGAACCTGTTTAAAAGTGATTTAGATTGCTGACTCCAGGGCTGCGTCTTGTCTTAGTCTTTATCGTGTTTGAATTCCTTTGTGGAGTGCCAAACAAAAGCATATCAGAAATAATAGTAAAAAAGATACTATGTAAATAATCGAGTGGTTGGCAATTGGATGGGGTTTACAATTCAAGTACTTTAATCCAGAAGTGCTGACTGTACACATGGTGCCAGCAGGAGAGAGTGGCCTCAGAAAGATGCCTGTTTCCAGCAAGGTTGTGGGATCCTTAGCTGATGGCAAATGGGAAAAGCCAAACACGTTTAACTAAGGAATTGAGAACTGTTTGACTTTGCTAGTGAAGATATCTGCCCCTGGGCCAGTGACCTCCACCTTAGCTTAAATGACTTTCTCCTTGGTGAGGTTGGTGCCCATCATGCAGCAATAGCAGACCTTGCTGAGTGTCCTGGCTGCCCATCCCGAGCATCTTTGTGCACTGAATGCCCCAGTGGCTCCCCACCAGTGTCCTGGCTGAGGCTGCCTGGGCAGATGGGGCTCAGCTCCTTTGTTTTCCCCTTCAGTCACCGGTTCCTCCTGTCCCACAGCTGTTTGAGCTGCACTGGCACTGCAGCTTTTGGGAGCTGTGGGAAGCAGAGGCTGGGGGTGGGACAGGGGGTCCTTGCTGATGGTGATTTTCCAGTTGATGTGGGGATGGGTAATTCCTTCAGGAGCTTTAAATAAATTGTTCTTAGCCTGAAAAATCCTCGGAGTCAAGAAGGAGGAGTTGAGTGCGTGCACATGAGCATCTTTCTGTTACCAGGTTTATGATTAAATAGGATCATGTTTCTTAAAAATAAATAGGTCCAACCTGTTAAGCAGCAAAATGTTACTATGTTGGGGTTTTTTTGTTGCACTGCTCACCCTTGCTGTCTGAACATCAGAACAAAAGGTGTGTGTCAGCCTTCATCACTGACACTGGGCTGGTTAAACCTTTCCCTCTGAGGCTGAAGGGTTCTCCATCAGCTTTCCATTATACCTCTAGGCACTTGAGCTGTAATCAGATCGCCCCTTGACCTTCTTCTGAGGTTAATAGCTCGGACTTTGAGGCTGGATGTGAGAGCTCTCTGATCCTTTTCTCTGGCTGCTCTGGGAGCTGTGCTCTGAGCCCACTGCAGTGCCTCTGCATCCTTGCACAGCTCTGGAGGTGAGGGCCGAACAGGTTCTTACTCAGCCTTTGCCCTGATATCCAAGTTCTTGCTTTCATCCTTTTTTTTTTTTCCTCCTGCTGTTTATTGCTAGTTTATCACTGGCTTTGCAAGTCTACCTGCTGTCTGTCCAGTCTGTGTGAGGACTGGCCATGCACAGGTAGGGGTTAGAGGGTCAGTCTGACAACATAATCAGAAAACGTGTGCAGTAAATGGGCTGCTGGACAAAAAGGCATCTGGGAACTCTCTGGGCAGTTGAAACAGCACAGTAACTGCACCACACTTGGCAAAATTGTCTTTCTGCTGGAATGTCTTCCATCAGCAGTCAGAGAGGCCTCTGGCTTTGTTGACTTGTGAATTTGGTGTTCGGATGGACTCGCAGTGAGCCCGAGGCTCCCGCCAGGTCCGTTCCCATTGCCCCGGTTCTGCTCCCTGGGGTTGTGGAGCAGGGAGTTCCTGCTTTGGGCTTAATAGTGGGAGACACTGGCAAGCACGTTCCTTGTGAGATGGATTTATTGTCAATCACTTTGTATTCCCTAGAATGAGAAATAATGTATTTTAAGGAGCGGCTTTCCTGGAATGCAGGCTTAGAAAACCATCAGTGGTCTGTTTGCTCCTCAGGATTATAAAAGCTTGCTTTATTTGCTCTTTGTGGCGGTGTGTTCTGCCACAAAAGGCATTTTGGTTGTGGCCTTCAGATCTCCCGGCAAGATTGTGGGTGGGTGAGGAGATTAGCTGAATTTAACACTGATCTGATGTGGCTCCTAGGACACTCAAATAATGCTCCAGCCTGGGTTGTAATTCAGAGAATGCAGAGATGGTTTACATCTGCCTTGAAGTCAAAAGCAATTCTCCAAGGTAGTTTTGTAGCAGTGCAAGCAGGCGTGGGTGTGTTAACTGCTGGGTCTTGGCAGCCTCTGGTTTAATGCGGTAATGATGTGTGAAGGTGGCTGGGGTAGAGCCTGGGACACACAGCCTGCATGAGAAACCTGCTGCTGTCACCTGCCAGACTGAGAGTGGTTTTTTTTTGTTGTAGATGAAGGACCTAGCTTGTGCTTCTGACTCCCATGTGCATGGAAGTTTGTGGACTTGATCTCTAGTAAGACTTGCATGGGTTTAATTTGTGACCCAAACTCGGTGGGGCCTGGAGGAAATGAAATCTGAATGCCTGTCTTGCAGAAAGGAATGTAAAATTAGTCATCCCACACCACCCTAAATGCCAGCTAGAGGCAGCAGGTGGGGATGAAGGAAAAAACTTGCTGGAAAATCATAATCCATGATGTAACCTCATCCCACGGCAGATCTCCCTAATTTAGCCTTGGTTAGTTCATTGGAACGGCTCCAGGGAGGAAGCAAGGCAGATCTGTTCTGGGTTTGGTCAAAGACTGGGTGTGCAGGTTCAATTGTTTGGTTTTGGGAGGTAGTTTGGCAAATGGCAGTGAGCTCTCTGTACAAGTCTTGGTGAGAGACAGTCCTTTCCTGCTCATTTGGAGTGGTTTCCTCGTGGGCAGAGTGTCCACATCAGCAGTAGCCGTGCTGTTGATGTGAGGAGAGCTGGGCCCACTGTGTGTGCCAGCTGCTCTTTCTTTTTTTCTTGTTTTTGTGGCATGTATCATTTTCATCTTAAAAAGAATGACTTATATGATTTATGCTTCTATTTTATTACTTGATCTTGCTGAACTACTGGGGGAAAAAAAGGGCTTGTGATTAAGGGACTGAGTGATGAGTTGTCATGCACTTGTCCTGTTTTGGGTTCTACCACAGACTCCTTACATCGGGGCCTGCATTCACCCTCCAGCTTTAATGCTTTCTTGAAGCACTTGATATCATTTCCCTGCATAATCAGTGACAAAAGCTGGGTATGTCCAAGGAGGTGATGTTGTCTGTGAAAGGTTTGAACTGTTCTCTGAGGCTTCTGTTCTTGTTTTTGACTGAAGAGGAAGAACTCAGTTATTCTGCATTTAGATGCCTTGCTAAGCTGCCTAAAGTTAGGTGCTGTGAATTCAAACCTATTACTCAGCCATTTCCCTGCCTGGAAGTTTCCTGTCCTCACTCTCCCTCCCAGGACGTGGTGAGGTGAGCAGACAGCTCTGTCACATTGCCCCAGTGTTGCCTTTTTGCAGTACAGAGCCTCCTGGTGATGGTTTTGTTCTGAGAATCAGTGGGCATGTGTGATTTCCTGAGCACTACCTTGCTGTGGTAGGACTGGTCTAAGTTTTAAGTGTATATCATCACATCTGTTGAAGCTGACTGAGATGTAATGTCTTGACATCTATGGTTAACACCCAGTCAGTCTGAAAAGCAGGGCAAGGCCTTACAGAGCCCTGAGAGACACCTTGTCAAAGTGACAAATTGCCCTTTCTGATTCAAAGGACCGGCTCTCATGGCAGAGCTAAGCAGCTACTGGGGAAAGGGGAGGAGAGCATGGGAAAAATACTCTATTTGTTTAGGCCTTCCCCTGTGTTTTTTGTTGTTTGTTGCTTTGAGTTGAAGCTCTTTGTTTTCCTTCCTCTGAAACAACTTAATAGCAGGTTGAGAGGAGCAAAGCCCCTGGGATTCTGCCTCTCCCACTTCTCATTCTTATAAACTGTTTACAATCTCCCTCAGTTTTCTGGATTTGTATGGAAAAGTTCAGTGGGTCAGCTTTCCCTTTAGCTTCATCCATCATTCCAGTCAATTAGAAATAGTTGAGGGCCAATTGCCCGGGCTTCCATTAACTGAGACACTTCAGATTGTTTAAAATAGCATAAAAGCGCTCTTTGTTGGCCGTGGGGCAGGCTCTGTGGGTCTCCTGGTGATGGGCAGCTACCGCGTGGCTGAACAGAACCCCAGTGTGTCCTGCCGTGCTCGGGGGTGAATACTGCTGCTGCTGCAGGCCTTGGCTGGCCCGGGGCCTTCTCCTTCACCTCCTCCTCCTCCTGCTTTCCCTGAAGGGTGGGACGCCTTCAGAGGCTGAATTACCATGCCTGCTTCCAAAAAAAGCTGCTTTTTGTGGCTTTTCAAAACTTCTGTAGTTGAGGGTTTCTTGCAGTTGCTGAAATGTTCCTTTTAACCTTGGTGCTTTAAAAGCTCTTGGCGTTACTTGTTCCTTGCTTGTCGTGTGTGTTTCTAAAGGACAAAGGGAGTGTGTAAGTGTTCAGGAAACAGTCACTGCATTGTGGTGTGGGGCTGAGTTCATTCTGGTACCCCATGCCAGGACAGCCTTCTTTCATCTGGGGCTGACATTTCTCAGCTGTTCTGAACTGACCAGCCTTAGGGTAGGGTAGAGTTTGTGAGAGCTCTGACAGAGAGCTTGAAAAGCTTCTGGTAGGTTGGTGTGTTTGGGTTCACACTGGAGTGAGCTGAATCTGTTGTATACATACATAGATATTTATTTATACACGTAAAAAACACATTTTATTTCACATGAGGAAACAGAAAAGTAAGTTACTAAATGGAGATCAGTTTATGTGCAGCAAAGTAGATATTTATGTATTCCCATCTCTAACCCCTTGTCTGACTCGCAGACTCTCCCTCCAGCATTGTGTGCTGCCTGAGTTGCAGTCCAGGCTGCTCCACGTGCTCCCTGTTGCTCCAGAGCCGTTTTCCCGGCTGTGCCATCATTTGATCCCGGCTGTGCCATCATTTGATCCTGGCTGGGGCAGCGTTTCCCCTGCTCGTGAGCCATTGGGGAGGGTCAGGCTGGGCAGTGGTGAGTGGTGCTGGACCTGCAGCTCAGTGTGTTGGGTGAGTTGGAGGAAGCAGCGTGTGATCTCCCCGTGCTTCCAGGGGGTGCCCTGCCCTGCAGCAGTGAGGGCAGTGCTGGCTGAGGGGGCTCACCTGTTCCTCTGTTCCTGAAGCACTGACCAAGGAGAGCAGGACAGTCTGGGGCACCCCTGCCCCTCGGGTGGGACGGGCTCGGTGATGGGCATGTGCTGGTCGGCTTGGATTCCAGACAGATCCAGGGCAGAGAGCGCAGCAGGGCTCTTGAGGCTGTGGGGAAAGAAAGGGGGCTCTGACAAGGCAGGAGGATGTGATGGTATCAGACTTGAGTCTTCAGCTGCTGAGGAGTTGGATCTTTTACTAGAAAAAAATCTACCACAAATAGACCAAGTTCAGCAAACTCCACCAGTGATTTTCTTCCTCTCTGATGTCCCAGTCTGATGAAGATCTCAGGATGGACTTTTTCCAACTGCTGTGTTTCTGCAGACTTGCCTTTTTTTCCTCCTCTCTCCTCCACATGCCTTCAGCAAATAGCAGCTTGAGGATATGAGGAGCAGGGAGTGCAGAGCTGGGTTGGGAAGAGACCAGTGGGGCAGAACATCAACCCCAGACTTGAACTCCGACAAAACCCGTGTTTGCTTGCTTTGCACTTGGAAATAATCTCATGCTTTGCAAAGGTTGAAGCTCTAATAAGTAATTTAAACAAAGAGTAGTAGGGGAGAGAGAATCCACATTTAATTCAATTAGCATTGTTGTCCAATGCTATTAATTATGCCCAGACTTGCAGTGTGTTTCACAGGAGCTGATACACTCGAGCTTTGTCTGTGCTGGGGTTGGCTGAGGACAAGTATGTCCGCTGATGGAGAATTCAGCCTTTGTGCTTTGCAAAACCCTTCAGATCTGGTATCTGACAGTAGCCTGGAGTAAGGAGTAGCCAGAATAGCCTGCCCTGCAATCTCCTGAACAAAGGGGATCTCGGGGGGAATGATGATTCGATGTGCATGTACATGTTTTCAGTGTTCTTAGAGAGGGACTGCTTTAGTGGAAATAACAATCTCCTGCAATTTTATATTATTTCCAGACTGTTTAAAATTGTTCCATAGGCAGAGAATAAAGAACTTTGTTTACTGTCTCAAGGTAGGATGTCTGATACTCCTGGGGGAGGTTATTCTTTTATTAAAACAGATATAAAATAGCTACTTTGATGGAAATAAATCTCTAGGAATTGAAATGGTGATGATTACAGAAGCTGTAGTATTCTAATGCAAAATAAGCCCTAGGAGATATGTGTGCCCTAAATGGCGAAGCGCTGTTCTTTAACAAAACAAGAATTACTGTTATTTTATGATTCTTGCTTATTTTACAAGGTCTTTAGCTGTTTCATCTGCACTTAACTTTTACGGGCTGGGGATAAATTGATTGTTGCTTTGTGTTTTAAATAGCTTGGCTTCTTTAAAGCACACTGGAGATGCAGATCAACAGGATAGGATTCATTTGGTCTCAAAAAGGCAAAAACAGAGGGAGAAGTCAGGACTGCTGACACTGTATGCAATAACTGCACTGGAATCTCTTCCTGTAATTTGGTGGCGTTTTGTAATCTTGGAAGAAGCCAAAGATTATTATTTGAAAAGGACTTAATGGATAATTCTTAGCAATCTGCAGTGGGGGATATCACACTGAACCTTGTGGGCCAATGACTTTATTGGAGGAGAGTTCTTGTGGCCGTTTCAGGGGGTGTGTGGGATCCCTGAGGGCTCTGCAGATCTCCCCCCAGCAGGCAGGGAAGCACTGGTAGCGTCATTGCTCAGGGGTGTCGTGTTCCAGCCTTACCCAGCCCGTGTTTTGCTTTGGATAGTCAGGCTTACCTGCCAGACGTGTGGAATTCGAGATGCTGAGGTGTGTTCAGCAAAAACACCCTCCTAAATACTGGCTTAGGAGCTGAGCACAGAGGAAGGTGGTTGGAAGGGGTAATGTGTCCCAGTTTCTGCAGTTTGTGTTGACCTAAAATCCTTAATGACGGAGTCTAAAAACAGATAACAACATCTTTGCATCTTTTCTGCGTTCGTGTTGGCTTGTGACAATTCCACGTTAGGATGTAGGGAAAGTGCTGGGTTTGGAGATCAAAGAACCACCTCCTTCAGTAATTCAGGGAGTGAGCTGATGATGGCTGTCCTCTCTGCTCACTGCATTCCTGCCAAGCTCACCCAGCAAGAGGGAGCACACAGAGGATGCAGTCTGGTTGCTTGTCTGTGTTGGGAGATATCTGCCTTGAACTTGGCAAGCTTTTAGGCTTTCTGATGCTTAGGACAGTCTCTTGCTAACAGTGGGTTTCTCTTGTAGGAATGCAGATCTGGACCGTATCTCCCTCGTTCTTCATTTTAGAAGCAGCCAGAGGATAAAAACTAGTGCAGTGCTCATTTAGAGTCAATATGCTCTACTTTGCAATTCGCTCATGTGTAAGTGCCCAGCTTTTAAGGTTTCCTTTGCCCACAGGCAGTCTGAATACAAAGGCAGACTATTTCTATTTTCTTTAATAAAGAGAAAGTATTGCAAAGGTTTGAAGAGCAAAATATTCCTTTCCACCTTCCATCCCCTGTGGTTTATTGTCAGGAAACAGAGTTTGCCTCTGAGAAGTCTAGAGGGGAAGGAAGAGAGGTGGGCAGCTGAGGTGCAGCTGGAAATGAAGGTGGTGGATGAGATGTGTGTGTGTCAGAGGAGTGGGAAGGGCCCACCTTGAAGCAGTTTTGGCACTCGATGATGAGGAGTTCTACAGGGGCAGGGTGTGATGGAAAAACCCTCTCTGCATGTACCTGGTGTTTCTGTTCTTGGCAAGGCTGGGTTGTGTGAGGGTGGGTGGAAGTTCTGGGTCTCTGCTCTATTGCAGTATTGTTGTAAATTAGTCTCTTTAGAGGAAAGCTTCACTGGGGGGTGGGAAAAAAGGAGCTGCAGTCAAAATACAGTACCTTGTAGAAAAATGGGGAGGTTAATGTGTTTGTCCCTGGGGCTAGCTCCCTTCTGAAGCTGTGGGCAGAGGCACAATGTGACATCTGAACCCTACCAAAAAGGATTCAGTGTGGATAGTGACTTATTTGCCATTAATGATTAAGTACTGCAGATTGGAAGGAGTGATTTTCTGTAGGGTTTCAGAAGCCTTATTCTCGTTGATTGATTGTGTTCCCTGAGTTATTCTGTGGTTCCAGTAGAAATGGAGGTAGTGCCTGCCTACATCGCCTCTGGTGATCCGTTGGAGGTGATGCTGGAGGCTCGTCATCATATCTTGGTTAATATTAGTGCTTACCTGAAAATGAGAGCGGCTTCCTTCCTTCCAGAAGGTCAGAATACAGCTGTAAATGCAGGAAAACTGAACAGGCATATCTCAGCTTGTTACATATCATGGAAGAGAGAAATGTGGAGCTTAATGAGGCCTCAGTGCCTGGTTCCTGCTCAGCAGCGTAAGGTCACTGGGGGCCAGTCCAGAACGTGGCCCAGCAGAAGGGTCAGTCTGAAGATGATGGCTCAGATGAAATGCAGTTTTTCCAAGTAAAACTCTACGAAATACTGTGTAGTTCCCTGGTGATGAAGCTGCTCACATCTGGAGAATATTTAAATCTTTATGTAATTAGGCTCAGCTCATGCATGGCAACAGTTTCATCCCAACCAGTTTATTTTCCTGTGATGTGAAGAAATATATTGGATTTGTCCATAGTGTTTTCTTTGGGGAGAGTGTGTTCCCTTGGCAGTTGAGAGCTCCATGTTGTTATTTTCTGGTTTTAAAATATATATATGTGTATATATATATCAAATGCATATGTGTGTATATATTCAGTCCTTCCTAAAGGATGTTCTTTGAGTGCCTGTTTGACAGGGGCTGCCAGCAGAAGCCCAGCTTTGGCTCTGAGGCCTGTGCAGGCAGATTCCTTCAGGGTTACACTGAGATGAGCAGTCTGTCGGTTCATTTTACGTGGCTGAGGATTCATAACTCTGGGGAAAAGTCTGATTTCTCAGTGCATAAGCTGGTTCTTTATTGGCCTCTTGCTGTGAAGCTGCTGAAATGTGTTCATCTGCCGAAGGGAGCTGCTGTGATCGGTGTGCTGGCACACACAGCTGCAGGAGAAGGAGGAAGGTTCAGATGCTGGTGCTGCCGAGCAGCAGAGTGTTCTCTTTGGGCAGCATCCCTGCAAGAACCCGCCTTTGATTCCTCTCTTTCAGTTTAGTTTTCGTTATGTTGGCTATCTGTTACAAATTTTAAATGAGCTAATAACCAGTTAGACCTTCTGGACGTAGCAAAGATGTGGGAAGGGAAGCATTTCCCCGAGTTCAGCTGTTAATCTCTGGCCATCCGTTTCTTTTCGGGAAGGGTGTCCATTTAATTGGAGGTGTTGATGTTTTAGACCCTTCTCTAGTCTGCAACTGTGGTTTTTTATCAAATGGAAAGAAACTTCTAATGGTGTGTAAAATTAACTACTCTGAAAGCCAGTGGGCCTGTTCACTGCAGAACTGAATGAATGTTTCTACAGACAAAAATTCCATTCCTCCTATTCTGGGCATCAAAGAGAAGGCTTAAATAAGTGTTTAGGTGTGAGGTTGTACTCTGCTGCCTGTAAATATGAAGTACTTGATAGATGCTTCTCAGGATTTGTTTGCTACATTGAACGCACTCATACCAGCAGAGTTGCAGAATGCTTCCCTGAGACAGCACATACTCCTTTCTCTGAATCTGTACTTGCAAGTTTTTGAGTAAAATGTGGTTTTTTTCTGTCGAGGAATCTGAAATAAATAGAGCAGTCGCACCATGACAGAAGAAGTGAAAAGTTCATTTTTTTTTTTTTTTTTAATCTGCTCCTTTAGGAACAAAGCCCCAGTAACCAGACCTCGATAGCAATGATGCAAGAACCTCAAGAAATGGTGGAAGAGACAGTTACTGTGGAGGAAGACCCAGGCACTCCCACTTCCCACGTGTCTATTGTCACCTCTGAGGATGGAACCACAAGGAGAACAGAAACCAAGGTGAGGGGTTAATAACCAGGGTGGGAAATGGCAGAGTGCCACCTAATCACCAAACAGAAGTAGCAGGGAGCAGCCTGAGTGGTGGCAGTCGTGCTTTGGGATCCTCAGGGATTTTAAAAGTTGTGTTTGCCAGCAAAGCTGAGTTGTCAGCTTCACCTCTGTGTCCAGCTTGCTCCTTATCAGCTCTGCTGATACAGCTCTTCGTGGAGCTGTGAACTGAGCAGCAGCAATTATCCATCTTAACCAAACAAAAACTGGAACCCCTTCTCAGACTGTTTATTATTCACTGTCTTTTACTGAAGCAGCTCACAGCATTGCCCTGCAAACAAATACAGTGATGGCAGAATGAGATGATTTGGTAGGGCCTGGCTGAGGAAAATGTGCTTGGAAATGTGCCTCAGATTAGTGATGATCTATAATATCAGTGTGTGATTATGCATTTGTCCTTTAGGGCAAGGAGCAGCCTGTGTAAATAACACCATAGCATTTAAATTCTCGTCTCGTGAACGGCATTTCACTCCTGGTGCACTGGGAAAGCTGGGTGTGCTCTCAGGTGACTGTACCTCAGGACTGACTGGATTACAGGTGTTGCATGTGTTCTCGTTTTGTTCCTTGTGTAAGGTAACTGTGCAGTCTCTGCTGAGCAGGTGCCGTCTGCTCAGAGCTGCCTCGTGTGCTTTCAGTACGACTGGAACATCACAAAGATTAAGGGTGATTCCCTTTTTAAAAACTTCTAGGCAGGATTGATTAAAAGGGAAAAACAAAGGGAATTGTCCAGCTGCTGTCTGTGTTAAAAGGAGTTGAACAGAGGTCACTGCATAAATCAGCTCCAGAATCAGGAAGGAGGTGCTAAAATTACAGTGGTGATGGACACCTTTTTATCTGTACTAATGGTTGCACATAGTTTTAGGAGGCTCTGAGAGCAAGGGAATAAAATGATAGCTACAGCTGTACAGATAGAGGAGTGGTCCCCAGATAACACACCCACTTGGAGTGGAACAGTTGGTGTGGAAGTCGTGCCCCTGATAAAGCTGCGAGTTTGTCGTGGTGGAAGAGGGGCAGTTTCCCCTGTGCGTCAGGTACCTCCCATTTCCCATCTTCCCACGGAAAACAACAGTGGCAGCTTCAAAACAGGCATTGTACCTGCATATGGGAGGGGAGAATTGAAAGAGCAGCAGCCCTGGAGCTGCTGTTCCTGTTCAGAGAGCAGGAGTTCTGTAGTCACTGAGCTGTGTCCAGCACAGGGGGGGTGGGGTGCACAGACCCCTTAGTCAACCTGCTGCCATTTAGGATGCATTTTTGGATTCTTCAGGAGGAAATTGCCACTGAATTTTGCTAAATTGTGTGAATCTCTAACTTGCTGGGGAGCAACGCCTCTGAAATTCTTCCTCCTGAGAAGCTGTGAGTGTGCAAGCTGCTGTGTGCTGCTGTTCTTCATTCCCTGCCCAGCAGAGGCTGTGAGTGTGCAAGCTGCTGTGTGCTGCTGTTCTTCATTCCCTGCTCCTTCCCCCGTTGTTTCAAACCCGTAATTTATTGAGGTTATTCTTTTCAGCGGTGTATTAAAGTAAACAGCCTTAATCCAGAGGCACTGACAGTTCTGCTGTGCTTTACCCCACATCTTCGACGATGCCTGTAGCAGTGAAGCAGGAAGAAGGCGTAATAGAATTTAATATTTGACACATTTTAAATGGGGAACATCTGCCTTTTCAGAATGAGGTACTTCTGAGTAATTTTCCCCTACCTGTTATTCTCATAGTGTTATACTGAGTCCCTACGTAACGTTCACTGCACAGAAGATGTAGCAGATAATGCTTCATTTCAGCTTTATAATATCTCTGGAAGCCAAATACCTCTCAAGCTAAAGCAGTGAAAGTCACCTTGGGGACAGACTACCACTTGTACTGCTGGCTGGAGCAGTGCCAGCTGTTAAAGGGAGCCTGCTGTGGGTGGCTCAGGAGAACTCAGGAAAGCAACTTAGAAATGTGTGTGTGTTAATGTTGGATTTTTTTCTTTTATTTTTATGGTGGAAATGCTCAAAGGTTGGAGGGATTTAGGTCGCTGATACTCATTGAAACCAATGTCTTATCTTAACAGAATGTGAGATCCCCTGCGAATACAGACCTGTTTAATTTGCAGTCCATCCATTTGCCCTGTGCTTTCCAGCGCTCAGCAAGGCTGGGTCTTGGTGAACTGCTGCTCCCCCCTGCAGCCAGCAGAACCCCTGGTGTGGTGCCAGGCACCCTGGAGGGCAGAGCTTTGAACCTCCCCAGCAGTTCAGGGCACTTAGGTAAGAGAGCAGCAAGGGATTTCAGGCAGAGTTGAGGGCCCTTTCAGAATGTGAAACTTTAGGCTTAGAACTGAAGGAGAGAAATTTGAGCTGTTGTTTTGAAAACCTACTGGGTGAGTTCTTGCCCAGCATTTAATAAAAAGGTAATAGCTTCAGTCTGCTCGGTCTGATTAACTTTTGCAATCTCTAGTTCAAAAATAAGCTCACAGAAATGTCAGAACGCTTCTCATCTGATTCCTTCTCATCTGATTTTTTGTTTATGGCCGTTTCTACAAAATTTTTAGCCCTGTCAGCTTTTACAGTGCACTTAATTGATTAAAAAAAAAAAAAAAGGCAAAACTAAACCAACCTCCAAAGCAAAATGGAAGGCAGAATTGTAGGTACTGGTTAAGATAAGTGTGTTTGACCATGTCAGACAGTTCAGCTGAAATCTCTGTGCTGTCTTCACTCCTCTGTGACTGAGCCCTGTGAGGGATCTACTTGTACCATATGCATCCAGTAAATCCAGTTGCTGGATAGTGACATGTTTGTTCTGCCATCCTTCAAGACAAACGGAAAGATGAGGGACAGAAAAATACAGAAGCTGCTTCAAATGTGTGAATATTTCCTTTATGTTCTGTTGGCAAATGTATTTCCAGAAATAGAATTAGTGAAAACATTATCATGGGACCTGTAAGGGGATTATTTAATAAAGTAATTGCTGTCTGGGGGTGAGAACAATGGTCAGGTCAGCAAACCTGAAGTGTGCTTGGATTCTGGGGTGGGGGGAGCAGCAGTGAAACCACTGACTTGCAGCATCGTAGGATTTGGGCTGCAGAGGGCCTGAATAATTAGGTAGATTGGAACTTTTCCTTTTTATACTGTAGTTGAAATCTTGATATCTTTACAGGGAATAAAAAATTACAAATATATTTTAAGCCTACTCTGACAGGCTTTTCATAGGGAAGTACTCTGGAGCTTTCATCTGGTACTCAGAGACCGTGGCTTTGAAACAATTGAGCATCTTTGATTCATCATCAGCCTAAAAAACCCTTTTAAGCAGGTTTTCTTTAGAGATGGAGAGTAAACAGAGGAAGTCAAATTGCACTTTCTCAAAGTAACTTGTATCTCTAAATTTTTCATTAGAGCATATCTGTAGTGAGGAATTTATGCTAATAGATCTCTCTCAAGATTGGGTGCATCTGGAGGATTGGGTGTCACAGAGAACAGCCTGTTGGGACTCCCACTTGGAAGAGCTTCATTCTCCCTGGCTAATGCATCAGTATTAAGGAAACCACAAAAATGTTGGGAGAGAAGGCTGCTGTGCTGTCAGCTTCTCAATCTGCCTGAGTTCTTTTAAGAAATATAAATGAAGCGTTCCCGTGAGCAGAATTTCCTGGAATAACCATGTTTGGTTTGTTGGTTGGGCTTCCTTTTTTGCTTGGAAACCTAATAAATGGACCTTCCTCTGTGTGCTGGCTAATTGCTTCCAAAAAGCCTCCCTTTATTGTCCTGTCAGCAACAAAGTGTTTATCACATGATAAATCTTCTGTCTCAGTGCCTATCCCTGACAAATGAGGCATGAGTGCAAATACTCCCTGTCTCTCAGAGTCTGACGCTGATTGCCCCACCACAACCCCTCCAGCGCTGCTGAACGCTTTTCTGCTGTGAGAAATGTCTGCTTTAATGCTCCAGTGGAAAGTTCCTTTTCATGTGTGTGACAGAGGGGTTTTGATTGTGCTGATCCTTTCTGTGGGCCAGTAGGTGCAGCACCCAGAAAACAAGAAGTGAAGCTGTGCTAATGTTGTAAACTTGTTTTTACCTGTGCTGGCTGGTGGAAGTGTGGCTTTGACTGTCCACAGCTGTTGAAGGCCTGTCTGTGCTGGTCTTGAAGACTGGTGGAGAGGACTGCTGTGCACAGGTAACAAACAGGACCCTGGGTCATGGCAGAAGTGTTTAGTTTCGAGTTTCCTCTCTTCTGGTTATTAAAATGGTGCTTTTCAGAGAAGGGATTGAAGATTGAGAGGCGTGGAAGGAGCATCCTGCCTGGGGTGTACGCGCTCAGGCAGTCGGCAGGGTTGGAGAGGAAGGGGAAGGTTCTTTCAGCTCTGGCTCCCATCAGACACCAGGGTGGTGCTGGTACCTGGCTGTGCTGTGTTCAGCAGCGAGCTGCTGCTAATCACGCTGCTGCTGGAGAGCCAGTTGTGCTGCTTTCAGCCTCGGAGGATTTCATTACTTCATTACCTTGAAGTATCATTTGCTCACAGATGTCTCTAGGAAAAGAAATGCTGTTTGGGTGAATTTTTTTTTCTGTTTGGGGTTTTTGTGTGAAAACATCTGGCTAGAGGACATGTCTGGAGCCACTTCAAGAGATGTACTCTAATTATTTTGTTCTGCAGCAGCTTGGCTTATCTGTTGCCAATCTAAATGTTTAAATTGGAGGCTACGGGTCAAAATATCTATTTGGACTTCAGAGCCATTGGGTGATCCGGGCTTACATGTTCTGGTTACCATTTCTCTTGAAACACACATTTCATTTTGAGGCTTACATGAAGAAAAGTGTCCTTTGCTGATGCTTAGTTAAGTCTGTAGCACTTAAGAAACCCAAAATCTCTCTTAGCAGTTGTTTTGTGCTCCTCCCCTGCTGTGAGTAGCACTGTCAGGTGGGTTGATTCTCCCTCTCACCTTTGTGGGTGTGCTGTTGCTTGGTTGGGTTTTTACAGTGGGCTGGAAGTCAGCATTTATTAGGATTGGAGTAACTTTTTATAGGTTAAAGTAACTTTATTGGGGGTAGGGCTGCCAAGGATGGATTGGCCTCTGCCGAACTTCGTATGCTCCTCAAAAGAGCCTTTGCTGGTCACTCTGGAAGACAGTCCAGAAGCTGATGGGCCCCAGATACCAGTTTTTGTCAGTTCTGTGTTCAAATGAAATGGGATTTATGGGAGAAAAGACAAAGATGTATTTGTGGACAGATTTTTCTTTAATGCTTTAAACAATCTTGTGTAGCCCAGTATGTTTCTCCAAGTGGTTCCAGTTGCAAAAACACTGTGGTATTAATTATTGCAAACATGTTAGCCACCAAAATAAAGGAATGACAGCAGATACCTGTTGGGCTTGTGTGGTGATTGTTGGATGTAAGCATATCTTAAATGAGAAAGCAGGTTTGTTGTCCAGAATCTTGAAGCCCAAAACTTTTCTGTTTGAGATCATGGTTTCCTAAACACTGCTGCCAAATTCGAGCTCCATCAGGTTACACAGTGGAGCAGACTTGATCCAGATCAGGTGGGAGCATATCACTTTATTTCTGGCAAACTAGAGAATGTGTGGTGCTATTTATGCTAATTGTGGGAGGATGGGCTGTGGCTCCTCAACATCTTAAAGTCTTCTAGGACAGAATGTCTCCTGAAAACATTTTGGGTAAGTTGGAACTGGTGTAATGGGTTTGTAGTGGTTCCATGCGCTGTCACACGTCTGCAGTGATTTTGATGTGGCAGTAAGAGCCCAGAGTGCACCCAGCTCTGGCTCTGGAGTGCATCTTTCAGCTTTTATTGGGAATATTTGCCCACTGTAAAGTCCAAAAGCAAAGGGGTGAGCTCCCGAGTGCACCAGGGCTCCACTGAACGGGCACGTCGCTGCAGCTGCTTTGTGGTGCTCTTTGTTTCACTCTTGCAGCTTCCTGTGTGTCCCATCACACGTGCAGCGAGGAGGAGATTAACACCTGTGCTCCCTGCCTCTTCCCAGGTTACCAAAATGGTCAAGACGGTGACCACCAGGACGGTGCGCCAGGTGCCGCTGGGGCCGGACGGGCTGCCCGCCATGGACGGCTCGTCCCCCATGGGCAGCTACACGGACTCCATCGACAGGAGGTTCCTGAAGAACGGCGAGCGCTACATCACCCCCCAGGCGTCCTCCACGCTCACCAGGTCCTACAACAGCTACAACGACTCCTACCCCGAGAGCCACGAGGGCCAGTACCGCCCGTACCTGGGCCACGACGGCTACGGGGAGCTGTCCGACGGCTACGGCAGCCTGTCCCGCGGCGTGGGCTACCGGCCCCGCTACGCCTTCGTGCCGGGCAGCGCCTACCGGCCCGACGACGGCAGCTTCACCCTGCCCAGCAGGAGGGACAACTACGCCCCCGTGGCACAGCCCCAGGTGCCCGTGGGCAGCAGCGCTGACCTGAACCGCTCCCAGCCGGAGCGCTTCCAGCCAGAGCCCTACGGGCTGGAGGACGACAACCGCAGCCTGGGAGTGGACGATGAGGGCTATGAGCTGGACCCCGACTACTCCACCATGAACAGGAGGACGTCTGCAGCTGTGCCAGAGAGAGGGAGACCTCACAAGGGAAGGTAAAACCCCTTTGTTCCTCACAGTGCTAATCTGTGTCTCACTCCATCGAGTTCAAACCGTTAACGATCTGGTGAATTCTGGGTTATGTGACAGAAAAACAGGCTGCCCGTGTCATTAGCCCGTAAATGACTGCAAAACACACACAAAGCACAGAAGAGAGTGAGGGTAGGGCTCAAGAACCCTTTCACTGTGTTTCTGGGCAAACTAAACAGAATCAAACACTTGGAAATTGTCATCTGTATTTAAAAAAAAAAAAAAAGAGGCAAAAGCCCAGTGAAAAGGTATCAAGATGGATCTCCCAGAGCACCCTCTCAGTCCCTTGTGAGGCCTTTGACCTTGCAAGCTTAGCCACCAGTGGAACCACACCAGTGTTTTAGGGGGCTAAAGGGAATTATACTGAGCAATCTGTCAGTCTTGAGTTGGTGCTCCTCTGCCACTAAACAAGTTTACATTTCTCATTTAAAATCAGACAGGTATCAATGATTTTAAATTTGTATTAAAATTCTTCAAACTCTATGCAAGATGAATAATTAAAAGTATTCCTAGAACCTACCCATTTGCATTTTAAAAAGTTTTTTGGTGTTTTTTAACATCCCTTTGATTTATTGTTCCTTGCAGTTTGGATAGGACCAATTCACAATTTTTCTATTACATTCCCTTTGTTGTGGGTTTTTTTCCATATTTAATATGATCAAGAGGCTTTGACAAATAATTAGCCTGAGTGTGGCAGCAAACTTTAGCTGTTGAGAACATAAGAAGATTGTGTGAGGGCCTCTTCATAAGTAGTTACTTTTTGACATTTCAAAGAAATACTTGAACAATTCAATAAACCTGCATTTCAGATATGCTACTGATCTGCAAGAAACTAAAGACTACAAATATGCTTTGTACCAGATGAGGGTAATCACTAACTTATTATTCCTCTCTGGTTTTTTGTTTTTTTTTTTTTAAAGTAAGTTATTCCTGTGAAAATGATTCAATGAATGTGGTAAATGGGTGGCATTTCTGTTTCCAAAGTTTGGGTGGGTGAAGCAGGTTGAATACCAGCCCTGCTGGGTGCTCTGCACTGCAGCAGCTCTCACTGGGCATCCCATCACGTCACAGACGGCGTTCTGGCTCTGGCACCCTGAGTTACTCCCTCCTTCTCTTCCCAGTGGGTGCTGCCCCATTTGTGAATGGTTTAAAGGTAGAAGAAGAACCCTGACTGTCAGTTCCTGGTCTGGAGCTGTTCTGTGAGAGAGGACTGAGGGGAGGTTTCTCACCCGAGTCTGACTCCTGGGAGAGGAGGAGGCAGCCTGGAGAGGATCCTGGTCAGGGGCATTACAGGAACAGATTGTTCTTTCCATGCCTTGCCTGCTCCATTTGATCCCAGAGATAAACAGCTACTGCCCTTTCCTTCTGTCCTCACCAGCCTCATTTGAAGCTACTTGTATTTAGTTTTAAAGTGGGGAGAAATGTGCCTCTCACAAACACCCACCGGTGCAGATAAATGCACAGAGGCAGATGTTCCCTCTGTTGGCTCTTCAGTGCTTGTGGCTGGGTTTCTTTCTTGTTTTCTCTTATGCTGAGTCTCTGATATGAGATATATTACTTCCTGCAAGAGTACCTGGTACTTAGTGTTCTTTCCCTCAGCATGTGCTGGTTTGGTGTAAGTCAGGCTGCATAATAAACTGAGGGAGAGAAAGGCACTTGGGGTGTATAATGCTGATTTAATATTACCCAGGTTTACTTATGAGGGTAATTACACATCTTTAATTGGGTTTATTACCTTTTTTTTTCTGCTTTTGATGGGTTGCATTTATTATATTAGGAGGTGTTTTACTGGAGTAGCCTTGCAGTGTTGCTAGATCTGTTAATACAGTCCTTTCCAAAAGAGGAACAGGAAGTACTGGATATTGTTTATTCACAGAAAGCATCCCTACTATTATTTGAATATTTCTTGATTATTAAATTGAAGTTAATACAGATGAACTGAGAAAAAATGGTAAATCATAATTCATTGTGTTTATTTAAATTATCTTCTGTTCAGCTTTTTCTTGCCTCTGTGGTAATTCCTTTCCAGAGTGGATCACTGCGGTTTGCACTTGCAAAATCTGGAGCAGCTACTGCCAGCGTTACCATTCCAGACTAGACAGGATCTAAATGTTTTATGTTGACTAAATCAACAGCAAAACAGTTTTCTGCTGTTACATTTTCCGTGTCAGAAGCCTGATCTAAGAGACTGAAACCATGTTTAGTGGTCACTTCATGGTCCAAATCATTATTACCATGACATGAGCCAGGTTTTAGATTAAATAACAGTAACAGTGGGGCTTTGCTGCCTGTGTTGTGAATGGACATGTGAGAATATGGGTGTCACGTGATATCAATCTCCTTCTCCTGGTGTCTGTGTTTGAATCCCAGATATACAGGCCTGTATTTGTAGGTAAAAGGTCAGTCAGCACTTCTGTCCGAGGCCCACTCATTGCAGGTGTACGTGGGCATCACTGGGATGATGTTTGGGCCAGCAGCTGTGGACATGCCAGGCAGAGCAGGCCAAAGCAAACACCGTGGTCATGTTGAAAAATATCTGGGTTTTTTTCTCTGCCTTAGCTGATTGTGCTCTCAGCCTGTTACTCTTGTGGTGGCAGAAGGCTGGTGTGGCATTTTGGTGTGGCAGGAGGTCACCTGAGTCAGCTCAGCCCTTGGCAGTTTTTAGGTGGTTCCAGTCAGGTGGATTTCGGTGTTTTAACCATATGGCCCATAATTCAGCCTTGTCTCAGCAGAGGATTCACTCCTGTTTCAGATCCTCTCCTCTGTCCTCTCAGGGAACAGAGCCTGGCAGAAGTAGAACCTCAGTCTCTCAGAGTCTTCACGTTTCCTCTTCAATGTTTGGCTCAAAGTTCCCCACTGCAATCCCAAGCCTTTCTGGTCCTTTATCCACAGCAGACGCCAGCTGCAAACTGGGATGAATGTAGCACTTGTAGAAGTTGTTGAGGATTAAATGTTTAAATCCCTCACCTGTTTACTCAAATGTGCCTGTGTTGAAGCCCTGAGGAAGATGATAAATCCACAATCTCTTTCCCTGTTTTTATCTGTGCTAGAATATGTTTTGATCAGTTCCCTGAAACAGGTGATTAGTGAGACCCGTGCCGTGCTAAAAACTCAGCTGCCTTGCTCCAGACAGATGGAAGGCAAGATGCCTGCAGTCAGCCAGTCTGGCACACTCTCAGCTCTCTCCAGTCCTGGGAGTGAAGAGCTCTTGGCCCCCTGAGAACAGCCAAGTGTATCTGCTGCAGCTCTTGTCATCCTGTTCTGTGTCAGTGCCTTTCCCTTCCCAGCACAGCTGCTCCGGTGGTGTGAAAGGGGAAAATCGTGTTTGGCCTGCACCAGTGGGACTCAAAAAGATGACTCCTTTACTCTCCTTGTGTGTAAATGTGTGGGTGATCAGGGTATGCTCTTGACTTCTTTGCTGTTGGCCAGTCCACCCTTGCCTGTCCCTGGAGCCCGCTGCTCAAGGAGAGGACGTGGCTCGTGGCCCAGACTGCTGGGACATCGGGGTCTGTGGCAGTTCTGCCTCTTGCTGCCTCAGCAGTTGTTTTGCTCCTTTCAGATGATCTTTTCTGGTAAACTCCCCCCCTTCAATGCTGTTAAACAGTGACAAAGCTGATATTATACAAGGGAAGCCCCGAATATTTCAGCATTCTTTTTCTTTCACTGCAGTATGGTTGGTGTGTGGTTGGTTTTGTTTGGCTGGGTTTTTTTCCCCTGGTTCTTTTTAACCTTCTTCAGTCTTGATCACCGTGTTTAGTCACGTGACTCTTAATTGGTGTGGTACTTGCCTTCACTGGGCTTTCTTGTGCAGCTCTTAAGTCATACCAGGCTCTCAGAGTTTCTAGACAACGATTGGGATCTTCACGTGTGTCCCCACGTGTTTTCTTTGCTGCCTTGTAAAGTCATGGAGTTTTATTACTGGTGCATTAACCAGTGGCTCCTGACACTGTCTCATCCTCAGAGGGGTGTTGGACCTGACCTGTGTGGGCTCCTGGCAGCAGTTGTGTTTTTTGAATTCACCCTTTCTCTGCAGGTACTTGAGAGACGCCGTGGTGGTTCAGAGTAGCTGTCTTTGTGTGCTGAGATGGGCGGGTCAGATGGGCAGCCTTTTTGTTCACTGAGGAGATGGTCCAGCAGGAGCAGGTTGAGGTTGGCAGGCACAGTTACAGGTGAATGGTTCATGTAAGGATGGGACTGCATGAAAATACCAGCACCACTTACGTGGTGCTCTCTCTTTTGTCCTTGTCATGCCAGCATCGCAATTTAAGGTCCTAACTCAAGTTTTATTTTGGCAAATGTAATGAAACCCAGGAGCTTTGTGTGGCACGAGGAAGATGGGCCCACGTGTGTGGTTCTGTTTGGAGGGCTTTATGGCAAATAAAGCAAACAAGCTGCATCCCGAGACAGCAGTTACCTGTGTATTTGCACGCATGAGGAGGAGAGAGAGACTTAACTGTGCAGGTGGAATTGAGGTGGTGCACAGTTATCCTGTGGGCAGCTCACACGACTGACACACGCTGAACTGCAAGTTAGCAAGTCAAGTGAGCAACAGCTGTGCAGAGGGCAATTATTAAAATTAATCTACTACTTTCCTTTTATGCAATCAATAAGAACATGAGAATGAGTTTGAGAAATGAGATTTTGTTGTAATTCTAATGCTGGTTGTCACAAATTTGCATTTGTGGAAATAGAATTTTGCTTGGGGAGTAGCTAAAAAGTTTTGTTATTCCTTCTGCCCTGTGTACATGCATAAAAATAAATCTTTTCAGTGTTTTGCTTTCTTCTTGGGACGATGGAAGCAGCTTTGTTCTCTAACAGAAAATAGGACTGTCCAGGCAGTGTAAATTACTGTGTAGAGCAACTGCTGAATTATACATACACAAATAACTGCATCGATAAAAGGATTTCTTCAGATTCGTTCTGGGGTTTGGATACTTGCCCATTTTTATCCTCTCATACAGTTTATGGTCTAGAACAGCAATTAAAGCAACTTAAAGTCAGGAGAGGCACTTTTAACATTAAAAGCGTTAATTGTACAAGACTGAGTTCAGTCTCCACCTCCGGTTGCTCTTCTCCCCAGAGCCTGGTTTAATTAGCAGTCCCTTTGGGATGACAGCAAGCTCTGGGTTTTTTTCTGAGTTCTAATAGCCTGTGCTTGAGCATGACATCAGAAATGGTTCAATAACATCACTCGGTGCTTCAGATGGAAGATTCTAAGAATCATTTTGTAGCAGTTAAAACCACTTGCTTGACTGTGCGAACTGCAGTACAGTAATGAACCTGTCCAGGAAAGAACAGTAAGGTAAAAGAGTGCTGATGGTTTGGCAAAAAGTTACTCCTAGGAAGTTGGTTTATGGTAGCATTGATTAAGAAGAGTGTTGGAGTACACTAGAGTGAGCATCAGCGTTGAAATGTGCTGGGGCTGCTCAGATGTGCTGAAAAGTGTCTGTGGTGTCTGCCCAGGCCTTGAATGCCTTTAATTAGAGTCTTGGTTTGTTGCAGAAGTAGCAGCATTAATGAAGATCAGTGTTTCCTACTAAATGTAATCCAGCTCCCTTGTAATTGTTTTGCTAAGTGACCAAAATGAAAACAATCTGTTTGATGGCTTGCAGTTCCTGTCATCGTTTCATTGCCAGCCAAACAAACACTGTGCTGGAGCCCCGTGGCTGCTGAGAACTCAGCTATGGTTAATTTTCAAGTGACTACAAACAAATTATTGGGAATTGTAAACGCGCTGCCCCTAGCACTGTTTGTGACACCAAAAGGTTTGCTCGTGGCTGAAATCGCTGTAGCGACTCAGAGTTACAGCTGTTGAAATGTGCCTTTTCCTTCCCTTTTCCCCCTTTGTGTACCTGGGGGCCGTTGTTTCCTGCAGGGGCTACGACGACCCCATGGAGAGCGAGGTGGTGGAGGAGAGGATCCCGTACCTGCACGGCGGCTACGCGGCCCCGCTGGCCCAGCCCGAGAGGGGCAGCATGGCCAGCATCGACCGCCTGGGGAAGCGCTCGCCCTCCATCGACAGCATCCGCAAGGACCCGCGCTGGAGGGACCCCGACCTGCCCGAGGTCATCGCCATGCTCAGCCACCCCATCGACCCCGTCAAGTCCAACGCCGCGGCCTACCTGCAGCACCTGTGCTACGAGAACGACAAGATCAAGAAGGACGTGAGGCACCTCAAGGGGATCCCCATCCTGGTGGGCCTGCTGGATCACCCCAAGCCCGAGGTCCATCGCAAGGCCTGCGGGGCCCTCCGGAACATCTCCTACGGGAAGGACAACGAGAACAAGGTGGCCATAAAGAACTGCGATGGCATCCCCGCGCTCATCAGACTGCTGCGGAAAACAAACGACATGGAGGTCAGAGAGCTGATTACAGGTGGGTGTCTGTGTTTTCTTTAATGAACCAGTCTTCAGATCAGCCCTTTCATCTCAGGAGCCAGAATTCCTGGAGGTTGGAGCGCTGAAGGGGAGTGCAGATCCCTGGCTGCAGCTGTTTGTTTCACTGCACCACGCCTGGGGTGTGGGAGCACTGAAGGCACCCGCGCCTGTCAGCAGAGGATTGAGATTGTCTGGGGACGTGGTTGGTGCACTCGGGTTTCCTGGCTGCTGAGAGATGGATGGTGCTTGCTCGGATGGAGCACACAGCTGTGTGTGTGGTTGAGTTACTGGAGCCTAAATGAGTTATAGCAGCTTCACTGGCAGGTAATTTGTAGTGCACTTGCCCTCAGCGTGGTGTAATCATGAGGTAAGATATGCTAATCTAAATCTTTCCTTGTTAATCTCTTATAAAACAATCCTGCTGCCATGTCCCCGCTCCTTCATGTTTATAGAACAGTCAGTCTCCTCAGGAGCACTTCCAGCCTGGTGCTGGGGACTCTCGGGCTGGGTGTGAAGTTGCAGCACTTCTGGGCTGGAAAATTCAGCTTTTGGAGAGTGTAGGGCCTGCTTTTGAGATGCTCTGGACGTGGGTTGGTTTGTTTGTTGCAGTGATGGGAGAATGGAGCGTCACGTTTTAGATTACTGAATTCATGCACACTTGGCAGGGAGTTTTCAAACATTTATAACTCCATTATTTAACCTGTTTTCATTTGAACTTAGTCTTGGACATTGTCCAAAAAGAGTAATAAAGTATATGCCAAGTTTCAAAGTTCAGCCATTAAGTGGAAAAGGGTGGAAAAGTATGTCAGCTCGTAAAGTGAGGAGAAAGATATTGTTCTTCAGCCTCCCATAAATCATGAGGAGGGAAATGGATTTCCCTTTCTCTTCTCAGAAGCCGCAGGGGATGTTTGGATGGAGACCAGAGCAGTTCCAATGAATTTCAGTGCCAGAATAGAATTTCTCAGAAAGCTTGTGAGGGTGAAAATGGGTCCAGGGCTGAAACTGTTTACTACCTTATCAGAGCTGGGCTCTGCAGGCAGACCTTATTACAAACATGGATTAAGCCATTAGAGGTAAACATCATAATTCTGTAATCTCTTCCAAAAATTATAGTAGCTCTCCAGGTTTTTACTGGTAGTCATAATTCTCTGAGATGAGCAGTGGCCTTGGGTGTTCCATCTGTTCTTCCCCAGCCATTACAGGATATTTAGCAAACTGGTCTAAATGTAGAGTGTTGAAACTAGCAGGGAGGTTTTTGCAGTGAGCTGGCGAAGGAGGAGCTGTCTCCTGTCACAGAACCTCCAAGCAGCACATGCTGGTTGTGCTTTGAGAGCTGTCTGTGCTCTGCCTCGTAACGTGGGAGCTCTGCAGGTAGCAGTTCTATTGCATTTCTTGTGCTTAATTTAGTACGATGGCAGACTGCAGTTTATTTATTTTTTTAAATAGAGAATATCTGTTTATCTGCTGTTCTAGTTTAATCAAAACTCATTTCTGGAGTGCTGAGAAGCAATAAATTTATTTCCTTATATTCAAGAAAGGTGAAGCCAGTCTATAATTTACTCTGAAGGAATATCATTATAATGCTAAGTGGTAATCAGTCACTTCTGAGATGACAAAAACAAACTGGATGTTTTTCCTTTTCACTATAAATGACGATTGCTTTGATTTCCAGTTGATTAATTAGCTTTACAGTTCAAATGCATTTTATTTGGCAGTAGTTCTTGCTAATTAAATGTAGTAGTTTTGTTCCACTTTGGTTTTTGTTATTTAGAGCTCTTTATTTCCTCTTACTGAAAAACACCAGGAATACTAAGGGCATTAACCCAAACAGCTGTCCAGTAACAGATGAAGTGCATTTAATCTCCACCTAAGCAGGAATGATTCCATTCCAGCTCTAAACCTCTGTCAGCAGATCCTGTGTGAGACACCCAAGCCCCGGCACAGAAGAGCAGAGCATTCCAGCAATGCCTCTGTGCTGCTGCATTCCAGCAATGCCTCTGTGCTGCTGCTGCTGCCCTTGCAGCGTGTTCAGAGCTCTGGCTGCTCCTGTGCAATTGTCCACGGGGACAACGAGCCCAGCTGGAAGTGCAGAGGGAGCACTGAGGCAGGGCTGCTGCAAAAGGACCCTGTTGTTCTCCACCTCAGTTCTGGTGTTCTCCTGGAAGCAGTCTCAGCTTCCTGTCCAGGGTGCTTCTCCCTGCTCATAATCCCAAGCCTGCCTTTGCCACCAAAGCTTTTCATTGTGTCTGGAGTGAAATCTCTGGGGACTCCATCAGCAATACAGTGGAAAAAAAAAGGGAAATACAGCAACATGCAGGGTTTGCTTGTTTTGTGCTTTTAACAGGCTACAGAGTGAAGTTCAGTGTGACACACTGACTTTTCTGTGGTTTAATATTTCTTTAACTCAGTACTGGCTGCTTTTCAAAAGCTGAACAGTAGTCATCAGCTGGTCATCCCAGACGTGGATAAATGATAAAATAATCCTGCTTTCCAAAGAGATTTGAGGAACTTTTAGAAGTTTGAATAATTCAGTTGTCTGAATTCAAGAGGCTTGCAGGTTTGTTCCTCTGGAGGTGGAACTCTGCCTGCAGGACAGGAGGTAGATGGGAGCGTATCAGACCCCCTGAGTGGAGTGGGTGTTCGCTGGCACAGGAGAGCCCCACTCTGATCTGAGTGGAGTCAGTGCCTGGCTCTGGGGCAGCTCTGTGGGCTCTGCTGGGCTGGGCTGGGCTGTGCTGCAGCACCACAGCTGGCAGAGCAGGACCAGGCCAGCCCCCAGCTGGCTGTGCCCCCTGCTCTGATGGAGGGGAAAGCCCCCCCAGCGCGGCACAAACACCAGAGAGGCTGATGAAGCATTGGAGGGCGTGAGGGAGGGATCAGGTGTGTCCTGGCAGTGCTGAACTAGTTGTGTCAGGAGCGTGGTCACTCAACCAGCTCCCAGGATGTGTTTTGGAGAACACAGATGAGGTAACTGTACTGATGTGCAGTTTTGGAAGCAGGCTGAGTGCAGACTAAGCCAGCCTGTAGCTTCCTTCTGTCACATAGCACTGGTTTTAGAAGAATTTGAAAAACTTCTCTGGTTAGTGCCATCTTTGTTTTACCAGATGTTCTCGATATACCTGCAAACAGCACTCAAACATGATGTCCCTCATCTGTGGAGTGTGTAAAAAATACCTTCAGAACTCAGGATACACTCATAAAATACCACAGATCTCACTTTTCTTTCTTTTTAAAGTGTGGAGTTGCAAAATGTTTCCCATCTACTGCACTGAGAAAAGCTTGATTTAACTCTTAGGGTGTCCATAAATAAATCAGGAGTGGAGTTGTGTTGAGAAATATTCCATGAATTTCTTACTTGCATCTCTTCTAGTCTTGCAGCTGTACTGCTGAACTCTCAGTGGATCATTTTCTTGAGAAACAGAGAAATGAGGATTAGGCTGATAAGGAATTAAATCTGTTCTGATTGGGAAAGCTACAAAAGTTTTATCTTGAGCGATAAGGTTTTCGTGGAGGAAATGTTCCCATCAGATATGCAAGACCAAAATTCTATTACATTCTTTGAAAAGCAATCAGAAGTCAGTAGCTTTAATGAATAATTTTGTTCTTTGTGAGAACATCGGGGTAATTTTGTTGTTTAATGACATTGCACTGATTTTAAGTGGTGCAGGACGTGATTTTCCCATTGCCAAATTGTCTGTAATTGAAAAATGATTGACCTTCAGAATGCTCTGCAGATGAAATGTTTTGATCTAATGCTTGAATGGCAGCTGGCAGATAGATGAGCTGGCTCAGGGTTCCCACCCCCTGGACATTGGTGTGTGCTGGGATCCTGTGGCTGCTCAGGCAGGGGCTCCTCCTTGGAGTGCCCTGCTGCCTTCAACCTGCTGACCACAGTCCACTTTACTCCCTCCTTTTCTATCAGAAGGCCTGGCAGAAGGAGGTCCCTTTCCAGGAGTGTCCACGTGGAGGTTCCCAGCCTGAGCACCCCCTGAAGGTGCCCAGCTCCTGCTTAATGTGCTGAAAAATCAGGGGGGAAATAGAGGAGTGTGTTACAAATAGTATGTATGAATAAAATACTGATCATGACTGTGGTCATCTTCTGAAAAGCAGTTGTTCATCTCCTCTGGCTGTTTGTAAAACTCCTCCAATCTGTGGTCCAAAAGGTCAATGCTTGTAGTGGAGGTGCACGGAAAATGTAGGTAAATTCATTTCCCATGTGCTGCTGTGTTAGTGACGGGATCTCTCTTGAGTGCTATTCATTTGAACTGATTAAACTTAGAGTTTTAAAAACAGCCTTTCCAGCTTGTTGGATCATTAGTGTGTTATGCTGATAGAGGCAGGGAATGATTCTTAAAGATGTGTGTCAAACTTACAGGGATTTTTCTTTTTCACTGGGATTTGTTCTTACACTGCAGCATGCTACAGTCTGATCTGAATTTGTTCCCTGGCTGTCACTGTCAGACTCTTCCACAGAATTTGTTTTCTCCAGAGCTGGAAGGATGCTGGGATTTAGAGTTCTTGGTTTCATAATTTTGAATTGTCCATCAGGGCAGGTCTCTCTTGGTCTGGATGGGGTTAGCAGCATCAGAGCTGCTGATTGCAGTGCTGCAGTCCAGCTGGAACACTGTTGAATTCCAGTTGCATGTAGTCTCTTGAAATGACAACTAGTGACTGAGAATGTGGGGGGAGGAGGAGGAGTTTGGGGGTGGTGGGTTTATTTTACACCCTGTGGTTGAAGGTATTGAAATGCAGACACAAATCTCTTAAGTCTTAAAACAAGCAAAAGATTTGAGCCCTGGAAAACTTTATACAATCCTCTAATATTAGAGCTCTTGGAAATTTTGTAGGTAATTTTGGCTTTTTACTTACATGTCTGCCTGATTGTTCCTAAGCAGTGAAATCTTTGTGGTTGGACTGCAGAGATAACAGATCGTGTCACTGCTCCAGGGAGGGGCAGGGCAGGCTCTCATGTCGGGTGCAGAAGTGTGTGCCTTTAGGAAAGAGCTTTTAAAATTGAAGGGCTGTCAGATACTAAACCTCAGCCCTTCCCCATGCCAGCACTGTCTCCAGCTGCCCCGTTCTGCAGTTCCAGAAGAGCAGGATCCTTAGGAACACTGTGCTGGTTCCTTGGCTGATCCATCTCCCTGTGATTGTGGGTTTGTAACCACTGCAGATACCAAATGCTCCACTGATGGTCCTGTGAGGGACCCCTGGCATAACCCTCCAGAACCAGGGAATTCTGCACCCCCTGCTCTCCATTTCAGTCTGGGTTGGCTCCAGAGATGATTATCCTGTATCATTTCCTGTGATTTACCCAGCTCGTTCAGTGCTGGCTGTTCAGATTCTGCATTTGAATTTTGAAGTCCTGAGCCAGCCATACATTTAGGGATTTAATTGTAGTTATCATTTTTATATCAGTAAGTCTGATATGCTTAAGGAATTGGTATTTAATGACTAAAGAAAGACTGTCTAGTGAAGTATTTAAAATTAATGGGGTAGGTTACATGTCAGTTTTTGTAGTCTTATTATAAATAATGATTTGCATTTTTTGTATGTTATATGTTTTTGAGACAGTTTATTATGAGAAGTAAAGGCTTTCTTCAGTAACAAAATGGATCCAATTAGCCTTTTCTGCTTGGTTTTGGGTTTTTTCCTATTCTCCAACAACTGCTGTTCTGCAGCAACAAAAGGGTTATTTATTGTAATGGGAACAAAGGGAAAAAAAATTCATTTTACCTACACAGTCTTGTTTTAAAGCTAAAAAAGCAGGTTATAAAAGTCTCATACAGTGCGTTGCCTATGAATGGCGAGGGCAGTAGGCCAAAAAAGCATTATTTTTTATGGTTTTAGAAGAAGACTGAAAGAAACATTCTGGTGTTCATTCTCTTGTCTGCCCCCAAGCTTCTTTATTGCTTAACATGGAATCCCAACCCTAAACAGGTGCCTGGGGTTTGTAACACTCGCTCTGGATGGGACACACCCCAGGTCCGACTCAAAAATTGTGGGTTTTGAAGCTGCAGGAGATGGAACAGAAGGTCAGGCCGTTGCTGTGAGGGTGTGTAAGTGGAGGGGGAGGTCCCAGCTCACACCGTGCTGGGCACACATTGTGCTGTGGAACACAGGGAGCCTCAGTTCATGCTGTGTCTGCTCAGGAGGGATCTCCTGCACGCTCTGTGCAATCCAGCTTTGCTCTGGAGTGCTGCTGCTCCTCACCCTTCTCCCTGCAGACACAGGGTGTGTCTGGCTGCCTGCAAGTGTTGGTGCTGCCAGTTCTCAGCTGGTACCAGGCTGGGTCTGTGCACAGACTGTCTCTGAAGTGAATGTTCTGTTTGAGTCCTGCTCTAATGAGTAATAACTGTCAGGACACTGGTACAGGTCTGCTGGGAAGTTACATCCCTTATCTAGCACTGGCTGCTTTGTAGTTGTAAAGCTGTTGTTCCATTATGCTGGTTTTGATGTTTGACTTCTGTCTGCTTTGCCTCATAATTGAGGTAAAAATAAAAAGACGGAGGAGTTTTGGTTTTCAGCTTCTTCAAGGAATCATATGCTTGTGGCACCAGGAGATTTGAACACAGATATTGCCTGTGACAGGAAAATGTGAAAGTAAATAATAGAGAGGAGACTGGAATGAAATACTATCTTGTGCAGAAGATAAGCATAAGATCAATGATCTTCCAGAAATCCATCCCTCCTAGGACTTGCTCAATATACTTGTCTGCTGCACTGGATGAATTTTTACTTGAGGCATAGCTAGACTTTAGAGTGTAACAAAATTTGTATATAGCAGAGAAATCCTATTAATCTCCAATAGCACATCACTTTTATGTACTCTCTTTGTAGGGCTTGATGAGTTCAACAGTATTCATGTCTTGATAAAAATGTATCCATGCTTTTGGAAGGTTCTGTTTCAGCAGCTGTGGAATTTTCCCTAAGCTAGTGCTGGTCTGGCTCCTCACCAAGTTGTTTTGCCTTTTTGTTTAGTTTTATGATTTAACCTTCGAGCGATTCTCTGCGGATCCAGCGATTCTGTTCAATCTGGAGATTTTAAGTGGTTGTTGTTTAATAATCCCTCTTTCTCCTGCAGGCACCCTGTGGAACTTGTCCTCCTATGAGCCCCTGAAGATGGTGATCATCAACCACGGGCTGCAGACGCTGACCAACGAGGTGATCATCCCGCACTCGGGCTGGGAGAGCGAGCCCAACGAGGACTCCAAGCCTCGGGACGCCGAGTGGACCACGGTGTTCAAGAACACCTCTGGCTGCCTCCGGTAGGGATGGCTGGGCTGGCCCCTGTCCTGCCTGCACTGCATGGGAGGACGTGGCTCAGAGGGGCAGGATCACAGCTCCTGACTCTGCAGGGACAGCCCCGTTTCAGGGGCCAGCACAGCAGTGCCGGGGGGTTTGGCTGCCCCAGCCTGCTGGGGGACGGTGGGGGCAGTGTGAGGGGCAGGTGGGGTGTCCAGCCTGGGGGAGGGGCCCTGTAGGGCACTGTGGAACACGATGGAGACTGGCCCAGGTAAGGTTAAACCACCAAGCTGAGTCCACGCTTGCAGAGTGAACTGTGCTGCAGCTACTGAGAGTCACAGTGACCCCTCCTCCCTGCAGTGGGACCAGTGGGCTCTTCCTACCAGCTCTGAGTGCCTTTCCTGCTTCCCTTTGTTTATCTGAAAACTGTGTTTTCAGACAGTTCCTTCCTTGGGCTTTAGGTCCTTTCCTATGAAAAGGCATTCTTTGCACTTGGAAGGGAACTAGTTTGGAATTACCCAGACCTTGAAATACAGATCCATTGGAGGACACACTCCTGTTTTAAGCAAAGGTAACTTAGGACCTATGGGAAATAAGTGAAGAATCTGAACTACTGACCCTTTAGGAACCTGAATATTCCTTCTGCTTTTCCTTGCAAAGGAGCCTTTTCTTGTGAGATACTGTCTTGGCATTTCTGAAAGCACCTTGAGAGCAGGACAGTGCTTGCTCCTGGGATCAGGAGCAGTCTGAAAGACTTGGGAGAACCAATGTTCCCCAAACAGCATTGTCTCTCATTTCACTTTTGAGATGAAACAGCGAGGCCCAGTTTAGACTCTTCGGTGTTGTGATGAAGTCAGTTAGTTTGAACAAAACTAATAAAGATTTGGCGTCGCACCTTCTGTCGCTCCCAAGTGCCCTTCTGTCAGATTTCTGCTGATTAATGCATCTTCAGAGGCTGGTTCATTCCTGTTTCCTGGGCTTGTGGTCTCTGAATTGCAATAACTATTCCCCTGAGTAACTCCACAAATGCAGAAAGTAATAAAAAGTGTTCTGAAAGGGCCCATTACTGAAATTATTTGCAGTCCCACTGGAGACTGAGGTCCTTTAAGCAGGCTCCAGACACTGTAGGTTTTTACTTACCAGTGTCTCATTTTCTAACGGTGTTCTGCAAGAGGAAATTAGTCATGGTAGGGAATAAAGGGATTATCTCAATGAAAATGAGATTCACCAGTAAGTGTAGACAATAAATTGATCATTAGTAGACTAGCCTAATCCACATCATAAAACTTCATTAGTATGTGGATCCACTTGAACTTCTGCATTCCAGGGTATCTTCGGGTTTGTTGATTGGTGGAGGGGGTTTTTTTATTATTTACCAGTGAGGCACTGGTTTTACAGGAGACACAAAAGCTTGTGCCCCTCTGGACAGCGTATTTCTGAAGTAAATTAAGAGGGGTGTGGAGCATGGCAGTAATGAGATACGTCAGCGAATTCGAACTTCTGATGTCTAAAAGTGGTCCTGATGGACAATACCCAGGGAGTTAAGACTGCTGTTGATGCAGGGGAGTTGCAGTGAGATGAGTCCAGGACAAGGCAGATGCAGGAGCAGGTGGGTATGAGCTGTCTCTCAGCTGATTGTGCTCCCTGCATATTACACACCTTTTGTAGAGCACCTCCAGATCTAGGGATGTGAATGGACATAGCAAAAGTAATTAACATTAAAACTGTTGGAAATAATTTTGCATTGTTTGTTGAAATCCTCTGCAGCTTATCCTTAAAAGCAGCAGCAAGATGTGATGGTTAACACCAGCAGAGGGTAAATTGTTGCAGCCATCTGTGTGACAGACATCAGTGTTAAAAACCCCTTTGCCTGTGCTCCTCTCATTGACACAGTAGCTGGGCTTAGAAATTCAGTTTTCCATGAATGGAGCTTATTTCAGACTGTTCACCAATTTGATATTTAATTGGGAGATTAGTCCTCCTGATAGCGTGCCAGCCTCCCTGGTCCCCTGTGGAAGTGAGCCTCAGGTGTGGGCTGTGTTGTCTTCCAAAATAACAGAGACTCTTTGAGCTCCTGAGGTTTTGGATGCTCTTGCAGTTGAGGTATTTAAGCAGAAGACAGGCATTATGCATGCAGGATGGTGTTCATTTCAGGATCATTTTTCCAGTTAATGAAGTTTATCAACAGATGTGGGCGAGTTTGTTTCAAACTCAGTGATTCACAGCGTGAACTGCCAGTTAATTATTACTTCCTTTTTTTTTTTTTAACACTGCTTACTCATCTTTACTTTGTTCCTAATCTGGGTCTCTCCTTTGATAATGTGGAGCCATGGAAACATTTACTTCAGAATGATTAAAAACAAGTAATTAAAAAACCCCAAACCCCACAATTACAATTATTTACCTTTACCTCTTCTTCAAAGGCTGCTCCATCCCATTTTCCTTTCCAGTCCTGTCCTGCCAACAGTGCTGCTTTTCCTCTGTGCAGTTTGTGAGTGTCTCTCCCTCCTCACTGGGGGGTTCATGTTCATGTCCTGGTTGTGGAACATCATTTGGAACAGGATTAGTGGGTTCTCTGTGCCATCTCACTCTGAACTTGACTTGCCAAAAACTCTGCTCACGTAAATGTTTTGGGAATGCTGCGTATTCCTCACTGCAGACTTGGCAGCACATCCAATTTGCAAAGGATGATCTGGTAATGACATTTATTGGGTGCTTTTTCTGTAATCTTCACCAAGATTTCATAAGCTAGTGCAGGTGAGGGTAATTTTGTCTCCATTCTCATCCTGAGATGAGGAGAAAGAGCCTTTCTCTTGCATTGCTGTGTTTTGTTGCTGGGGGCAGAGCCAGGATGATGAATGGATCTGCAATATCCAGAACCATTTTACTGCTGAAAATGGTCCCGAGTCTTGTGAGGGATTCTGCCTTGGGTGTGATTCTATAAAATAGAGGTATTCTTATGTTCTGCTGAAGCTGGTAGAAGAAACATGTATGGTGCAAGTCTGGAAAGGAACAGTAAAAAGCAAAGCAAAGCGAATTTTTTGGTTATGAAAAAGTAGGACCGGGGGAGAAGGAAGGAAGGCATTTGGTGCTAGGAGGATCATTAAATATGCACAGATGTTCCCTCGTTTCATTTACAGTTTTTATGTCTTCACATTGCATTTTATTCTTCTAGGTATGTGGAGAATGTCTGTTCTAGTTAACTGCCCTTTTTTTGTGGTCTTTAAACTCCCGAGTCCCTTCTGGGATTTGCAGTTGTGTCTTCAAATTGTGCTGCAGTTGAAACAGTGTCATGATTTGGTGCATCATAACAGAACCATTTTGTGGTTCTCTCTCCAGCCTTGACCCACACCTTGAGATGCTCTGGGAGAGGAGTGTGAGCTGAGCTGAGTTTTTTTGTGGGAAGGATGGAGCTGTGGCTCCTGTGCAGCCAGGCAGGGCCAGAGACCTTCACCAGGTCCCCAGGGTTCTCCTCGGGTGTTTCCCTGCTCTGGAGGGGAATTCCTCATCTGTGGGTCAGAGTCACATCACCTTTTCTGTTTTCTGTGGACATACCCACCATCATTCCTAGTTCTCTGCAAGCTGCAAGGATTTTAATGCTTTAAAAATTAAATTCATTCTGGGCTTAATTGCTGTTTTCTGCCTAATTACTTTTAATTCTCCCTTGGATTTCTTCACTTCTAAGAGGACAGAGTAGAACTTAGTTCCTAAATTGCCAGCTTTCTAGCCTGATTCCTGTGCTAAACTGACCTGCTGTCAACAAATGTTAAATGAATTCATTTGCATAGCAAACAGATGCAGAGTGCTCCTTTTTCCAGGGGTACCATCTGTAGCTGCAGCATTTCTTGTCAGTTCTCCAAGTACACAGGAATTGGCATTCACAAATAGCCTCAGGGTTCAGAGCCCCGGCCCTGGGGTGTGAACACAAACAAACTGCCCCCACCTGACTTGCCCAAAAAACACGTATTCTTCCCATCAGGACTGCCCAGAACAGCTTGTCCAACAGCAGCTCCCGAGAAGGGAAGGGGCAGCCTGGTGGCTGGAGCTGGAGCACGAGGCCTGGGAAGTGTGGAGTCATTTGCTGTTCTGCTGCTGCTCTGACATAATCACAAGCGAGATTAATGGCAGAAACGTTTTTGTGGTCTGACTTTCAGCAGCCATCTCTCCTTCTGCTTTTGAGAACCAGCCTTCTGAGTGGATCTGGGCTCCAGTCACTGATCCTCACTTCCCTGCCTTTACTGTGGGACTGGCAGCTCTGTCCACACCTTCCCCTGAAGTTGGTAAATAGTTCAAGGATTTTGAAGGGGTTGATCCTGGAGACATTAGCTGGGAATAAGCAATTCCTGTAGGTATAAATTAAGAGTTTGCTCCCATGGAATCAAAGCCTAAGAGGTCTGGTAAGCATGAGATAAGGACTCAGGGGATTCAGAGCCAGAAACAGAACTCCAGCAGGTCGAGAAATGATGTGTAAGTATCTGCAGGCTCCTCTTAGGTACTTCAGAGGAAAGACAACTGCAAGAGCTTGATGGTAAATCATTAATGCTTAGGATGTGTCAGATAGAATTTTTTAATGAGAATGTCTTAAACCTTTTTTTTTTCCTGAGGAAGGCAGGAACGTTGTGCTGCCTGCAGGTACATCTTGTCCTGCAGATGTAACTTGCTTCAGTCATGGGTAACAGTGGCAGTGGATGTGTTCCTTGAGTGGCTTTACGTTTCTGTGAACACTGTGTGTGTGTCCCGTGCCCCCACAGCACGCTGTTGGTGGCAGGAGTGTGTGTCTGTGAGGCACCTGGAGGGGAAGGAGGTTTGTCAGGCAACATTTGGTCTTGTTTGGGCAGAAAAGGTCTCTTGTCTTTGCACCCTGCAAACAACTGCAGTGAGTGGATCAGACTGCTGTGCCTGTCCTTCCTTCCCATCTCTGCTTGCCCAGCTCGAGGAACGAGAGGAAGAAAGGCTGTCAAAGCCAGGTGCTTATGCCCTTCTTTCTCATGAATGATTAATGTGTGGCTTTTCTCTGAAGAAA